TGTGTGTGTGTGTGTGTGTGAGAGAGAGAGAGAGAGAGAGAGAGAGAGAGAGAGAGAGAGAGAGAGAGAGAGAGAGAGAGAGAGAGAGAGAGGTTTGAGGAGGGTGTCGAGCGCTGTGAGCCTCAGTGCTACACATAGTGGCAAAGATGGAGAAAAGTCGCCTTCCTCAGTCGTCATCATTATTTGTAAATGATGGGTCGTTCATGGAGAGATTCAAGCAGATGCAGAAGGAGAAGGAGGAGAAGGAGCGAGCTGCGGCCGCCGCCGCCGTCGCCGTCGCCGCCGCCAGCATCGCTGCTCCTTCCCATGGTTCTGGAAGCCGAGGGGAAGGCTCACCCACTTCTTCAAGGCCATCCCCCGACGATGCGGAGGGAGGCGGCTGCGCATTTCTATCTAGCTGCACATCGGCGGCTGATAGCGGGCCGTCATCATCTCGTACGGCTCCGACCTCGAAAGCTGGAGCTGGCGGCAGCGGGAGTATCGCCTTCTCTCTTGGCAGAGGAGGTGGCGGCGCCGGGAGAGCTGGAGCTGGCGGTACCAACGGTAAACTGGCTTTCAGTCTGAAGACTAAGCCAAAACCTGCGATCAAACCCATCCGATTAGGTGGAGATGATGAAGATGAAGATGAAAACAAATCTATGACCCGATCAGATGATAAGCGAGATGCGAAGCGGCCAAGAACAGACGCAGGAGGATCGTCCTCTACAATTGGAGCCTCTTCCAGCTCATCGGCAGGAGGTAAGATTTGGGGGCCCTTCATGTGCTCGGCCACTCAGCCACGTCTCTGCATTAAGCATGCCCTCTCTGCCTGTTCTCTAGCCCTCCACTGTTGGCTCACCGCTCCCCCTCAGAACTCCTTCAATTCATTCCTGCCAATCAGCTCCTTCCATTCTTTCTTTCCCTCCCAAAAGTCTTTCCCGCCAAAACCTTATTCCCGTTCCTTTTCGCCAGAAGACATCCTGAAAAGAAACTTCCCTTCTGTCCCGCCAAAACACCTCTTCCCTTCTGTCCCGCCAAAACACTTCTTCCCTTCTTTCCCGCCAAAACATTTCTTCCCTTCTTTCCCGCCAAAACATTTCTTCCCTTCTG